AAAAAAAAAAAGTGTGGTTGCTTGCTGTCCTTTTGTTTCTGAACTGCAGCATTGTGCTGAGCTAAAACTTTAGAGGTAGACTGCAGGACTAAATGCAGCAAAATGGCCAGAATGTTCTGGAAACTGCAGACATGGAAAGTGAACAGCAGCAAGATTCCACATCTTACTGCAGTTTACTGCTAACAACAACTACAGTGATGGGAAAACAACACAGGCAGAAACAAACTGACTGTCATACAATTCATACTGGGACAGACCACTAGAAAATTTGCACAGTCAACAGGAGCAGCAAGTTCATTAAGCACAAAGTTTCAATTCACCTGAAGTATGTTGTTCCTCCCATCCCTCATATGGTCACACTGTTTCTTCCTTCCTGAAGGGAAATCTATCACTCAGGAGTCCAAGGTCATCTTTTTATTTTTGTTTCCTCTGAAAAAACCCTCCAATCCATTTTTCTTTATCCCATCCCTCACTTGTTCCTTGTTAGTTTTCTCTTCTGCAGTTTTCCAATTGATGCAGTAGCTCTTCCAAAACTTTATTGCTTCCATAATTCACAAACAGATCTTTATCTTCCACTATTTTTCCTCCCCCACAGAAATACTTTTATTTCATGGTAGAACCTGTGTGAAAAGCCACCTACTGCCATGATATGGCCTTTCATGTCATTGCCTCGTGCTGGAAAAGAAACTGTTTCCAAAGCCCTCGTGCAGCAGTTGCACCCCAGCTTGATCCTTCTCCAGGCTGGCTTTGCAAAGTCATCTCAGTAGCTCCCTCTGTTCCTAGTTAGAGCTCTGCTGTTTCTAGTTCTGAGCAGGATCTGAGCTGGCAGGTTTCTGGCCAGCTCTCATTTTTGTAGGAACATGAAAGTTTATGCACCAAAATGCCTCCCTAGGGCGTGTAGTCCCAAAAGCCCACAGCATTGCTGCTGTTGTGGGGAGAGGCAGAGGAGAAAGAGCATAAACCCAAAAGCATTCAGATGGTTATCCAAATAAAAATCCATAAAGCCCAAACTTTAACCACCTACCTTTATCAAGGGGGAAAAAGATGGCAACTGTCCCTGATGTGCTAACAAACCAGCATCATGCCTGTCCAGGAGAGCACAGCCCAACCACTTGACTCATTCACTGGGTAATTCAGCCAATAACAGGCTCTACAAAAGCTCTGCTCTGGCAGTTTGGAAGGTTTCAGGCCAAATATCAGTTACAGCAAACTTCTACTTGCTTGTCCTCCCCTGCTGCTTCTTTTAAACACCCAGTGGGCCAGTCTGAGGTCTGTCACCAATACTGGCCACTGATCAAAGTTCACAAAAGCACATGTGTGACTGGATCAGCAGAGGAAAGGTATTTCTCCATTTCTTGCTGAATAATATCTAATCTCCCTTAATGAGTTTGACCACAAGATGAACCCGGGAAGATGTGTGGTGTTAAAGAGCTTATGGCTAATCTAATTTACATGTTAATTCAGCACTTAAACCCCTACTACAGAAATGTAAGTTTTCCATGACATAACTTGATCTCTAACAGGTAAGGACCTAGGACAGATAAACATAGATAAAGAGTGTTATGAAGACAATAACCTGTTTTGATTGCTTCAACCAGCTTGTCATTCTTCTCTCCTTCAAGCAGCCTGTGGTAATATCCAGGGTTTTGTTCCATGTTGGCTTGGGCCCCACTCACAATCATCCAGACCAACGCACGGTGTTCATTGGGAATGCCTTTCCTGATGTATCTCTTCACTGCAAAACAAGAAGTTGGGTGTTGTTTGGGTTTTGGTAGGGCTTTTGGTGGTTTTTTTTGGGGGGTGTGTGTTTGTTTTTGTTGTTGGTGGTGGTGTTGTTTGGTGGTGGTTTTTTTGGTTTGGTTGTTGTTGGATTTTTTTAATCCAGCTGTATCTTCTGGAAATGAGCAAGAGAAAGTTGAGAAGTCACAGGAAAACTCTTGACTAGAGATATTTATGCTTTGTCTTCCATGCTACAATTTAGGATAAGCATTTAATTCTCAGCTCCATAGTGTATTTTAGACTCACTCCTAAATTCTTGCCACACAGACTCCCCATATAGGTCTCCAGACCCAGGCTTCCCTCCCTCCTCTATTGCCCCATTAGGATCTTGAATCCTTCCCTCTTCCCTCCTTTCTGGCTGCAGATAAGAACTGCAAAATTTCCCCTTGATCTTTGTCCTTTTTCTTTTCTCCAAGAACTGAAGATGTGAAGGAGCAGCAGATGATTTTTCCTAGAATAACTGGGGAAGTATTTTCAAATCTAAAGCAGCTCTTATCTCCTGCATCATACTCATTGTCAGGGTGTGCTTTGGGGTTTTTTTTAAGCAGATGATTCAGTGTAAATAACTAGGGTGCAAGATTGCAGGAAGAAGCATCAGGCTAATGACAGCCAAAGCAGCTTCCTGCTAGGGATGGTATGAAAAATATTAATAAGGACCCAGTGCTGCTCATTGGTACATAATCTGAAATCAGCATTACCCCTTCTGACCCAAAAAGACAGCTGCATTTTTGAGCTCCTTCTGCTTTATCCAGGGAGAAGAAACTGACAAAGGAACTAGACTTCTCTTACTAAATGAATGAGGCTGTAGCAATTAAAAGCATCAATTTCTCCTCCCTAAATTCTATGGGATTCCAATGACAGTGGAGATTTTTATTCCACACACACACACAGACACATACACAAAATATCATCAGCTAATCTGGTTTTATCAAATCACAAAGATCTGTAACAAGAGTGAAACAAGGTTTTACAACAACTCACACAGCCACCTACCCTTTAGAAGCCAAAGCTGCTTTCCCAGTGTGCACAGAGAGATCTGTGCCTCTCCAAAGGGCTATCCACCAACCTGGAACCTGGTACTTTCTCTCAGGGAACCTTTAATATTTGCAATGAACACCTGGTCTTCAGGGTACAGTTTTGTTTAGAGGGTTTATGCTACAGGTTACAGTCTCTAGTGTTCTAGCTGTAAAATAACTAACTACAACCTTTCTTTAGACAGATTGGGAAGAGTTTACTTGTTTCCATGGTTGTTTAATAATCCCCACTTCACCTTTTTTACAAGATTTTGAATTCTACTGCTCAATATAGATGGATATAGCAAATGTAGGAATGATTATGAGGAGCCAGTCTTATTTAGGTCAGGAAGACACATACAGATGAGCCTGCAAATGTCTCTAGGAGCAAATTTATTGGCTATGTGACTGGATTATCATATCCTAACATAACTAATGTTACTTTTTCTGAAACAACTGTCAATTCTGAAAGCACAGCCAACATCCCCATCCAACAACACGCATTAAATTCAAGAGAGGCAGGGACAAGCTTTTGACACTGGCACAAGGGGAAAGCAGCCCTGCAGCACAGCACACACTCATTATTCCTCAGCATCATCATTCTCATGGTAATAGACAGCCAGGGGCTTGTATGGCCCCAAGTGACTTCCTCCCCCAGGCTCCTCCACCCCCTGGGGAGTGGAAATGCCCTTTATATGCTGCTTTTCTGCCTCACACTATCACTATACTTCCCAGGATCTGCAAACAGAAGCAGCAAAGTAGTTTTGAAAATAAGGCCAGCTGCAATTGAATATGTTTTTCTATCCAGATAGTATTTATCCCTGTCCTAGTCTATACATAAAATCGTAGAGTTTTATACAAATATCTGTGTATTTTGTTTTCTGCTGGCTCTCTTCCACATTATCCTCAGGAACTGAAAAGTCCACAGCAACAGTGCACCCCACAGAATATCCTCCCATTGGAACATTTCAGAAGCTTTCTGAGATGAAGCTGGATTGTGCAAGTGTCTCAACTCACACATCCAAGTCCAGTTGTAAACCAGGGGCTTTAAACCAAGAGAAACATATGTAGAAAATAACATTTTCCAGTAGCATGCAGTCCTTATAAGTAACAAGATACATATGCAAACACAAAGTAAATCACTTGAAACCTGCCTGTCCTTGTTTAATGGTAGAATATGAGAATTTTCAAGTTTTTTTCTTGTAGATAAAGTTGTATTTGCCTTTTACCCTGTTAACATTGTTTTGCTCTACACCATAGGCTAAGCTTACGTATGATGACCCCATTTAAAAAACAAAAACTAGCTCATTTAAAATATTAGAAGGGTGTGGTTTTGAGATAGTAGCTGAAAAAGTAGCTGGAACGTGCAGCTGCAACAATTACAGTTGAATGCTGAGGAAACTAACTTGGACTCTAGAGGAAAACCTCTACAAAAGAGCTGAAAACAGCACAGACTAGAAAGCACCTTCTGCTACTGGTCAGTTTGATGAATCCACTTCCAGCCAAATTCTTTTACATAGCACATTTTTGGGTGAGAATTAAGCCACTTTGGGCAATCACAGAGACAGTTTGTTACCTGCCTGTAAACAGGGCTAAGCAAAGAGAGCAGATGGATGACAGAATCACAGAATGGTTTGGGTTGGAAGGGACCCTAATCATCTAGTTCCAACCCCTTGCCACGGGCAGGGACACCTCCCACTAAACCAGGTGGAATGGATAAAAGCAAAAGTTAAGAGGATCTCAGTAATGACAGAGAGAGAGATGAGGCACCTGGCTGAACACTGACTGGAAATTCATGTGCAGAGCAGTGAAGATAACAAGGGCAGAGGGGGCAAACAAATACCAGAAAATAAGAAGGAAGAGACTGGAGAAGGAGCAGAATGAACTGTCAGCCAAAATTCCCATGACCTGCCCTGCAGGAAGACTGATCCAGAACAACAGGATACACTGCTTAATTACCATTGATAAAGTGTACTCTAATTATTTTTCTTTACAGTGGAAGAGAATTATATACACACATACCATTCTGGATGTGAGGCTACCACAGTAGCATGTGAACACACCACATTTCCAAGATGGAAAATGAACACAAGGCATCACTTCTTCCTGCTCACCCAGACAGGAATTAGGAGCTTCTCTGTGTGTGAAGACCAATGGGTGTGGAGCTCCTGAGATACCACACATACAATGCCTCTCTCACATCTACTCATAGCAGGATGTCTTTTGAAAAGGCCCCAGCAGAACTCAGAATAAGGCTGTTGGTTCACAGAGACAGCTTGTTGCATCCAGGAGGGGGGAAGTGGCAAATGAAAGAACTCTTCTCAGTTCTAGCTTACTGCCAACTTGCAGCAGAGGGGAAGTTAATCAGAACCAGCAGCTCCTGAGCAAAGCTTCAGAGCAATGAAGTCAGGTCCTGGAGGAGGGAAACTCAGTGCAGCACCAGGCAGACCTCCTGCTCTCTGCCTGCCTGCAAGGAAATCACTGCAGGATCATCTTGCAGGGTAAATCTCACACTTAAGCAACTGCTTACATAATTCTAAGTGCACATGCCACAGATGTCAGTCTTAATACTGATACAAGAAGGAAGAATTCCAAAATCAGTAATTGTACTGGTTAACCTGTTGCTCTCCCCTTCTGATTGAGGATAAAGCAGGAGTGTTATTGTTATAACTTTGATTTTACACTAAGATTATGTTTACCCAGCATTATTTATTCCAACTACTCTTCTTAAGGTTACAAATCACATAATGACATGAAAATTCACAGTCTACAAATCCAAGTATCTTTAGCAAAAGTTAGTAACATCAAAGTTGATGCAGCTGCCTACAAGGGCTCACTGCAGCCAAGAAGTGTTGCCTTTGTCCACTCTGGATTTATAGGATCACATTTTTCACAAAAAGTCACCTGTTAGAGATTATTAAAACCACATTAATGGTTACATGGCCATTGCATGGCTAGTTGGGCAGCATGACTAGCAGTACTGAAGCCTGGTGGACAAGAGAAGAGATCTGGTCAAAGTTTTGGCTCTGAAACCAGACCAAAGGCATTCATAATGTTTGTATCACAGTAGTATTCTGGAATGCTGGAACAGGGAACACACAGGAAGAGAAATGTAACAAACTCATAGAAACTGCTCCAAGTTGCCACCGTCACAGTTCACACTTCTTAAAAGAGAAGGAGTTGAATCAAAATTTGAGATTTTCCCACAACATCTAGAAGACTAAGTTCTGCAGAATCTCAGAATCCTCACTAACTCAAGATATGCAGTTATCACTATATTCTATACTATATTCTATACTATCACTGTATTCAGACACCCTTGACAAAAGCTTCTATACATTTGGAAGAAAAAAGAGAGGAAAAGTAGCTACTTTCTGGTTAGCAGTGTAAGATCTAGCAGCTATAACTCAGACCTATGTTTTCTGGGCCTCACTAATTCAGGATATGCAGTTATCACTATATTCTATATTCTATACTATCACTGTATTCACACACCCTTGACAAAAGCTTCTTTACATTTGGAAGAAAAAAGAGAGGAGAAGTAGCTACTTTCTGGTTAGCAGTGTAAGATCTAGCAGCTATAACTCAGACCTATGTTTTCTGGGATTCCTCAGCCTTAAAACAAGACATCCACACACTAAACATACTGTTATACTTAAAATGTCTCACTGCTTATCCCATTCTTGGTGCAAATAAAAACAGAAAATAGCCTAGAACTACAAACCCACCAAAATTATCAGTCTAAGCCTGCATCTGAGGCACAGCTCTAAATATTCAGCTATGTTACAGCCCTTGCCTGATTAAATTTTGCTTAGTTTTACTCACTTTTTGTTTAACACACTTACAGAGAGCTCTGCCCAACTGCAAAAGACTTCCAAAAGAGAGCAAGCTGAACAGCATCATTAAGAGCAAAGAGGAAAAACAGTTTCTGAGTCCCTCCATTTATTTCTCCCTGTCTCTCTTGCAAGATAAAGCATTACTAGAGGGTTTCCTGCTTTGTGAAGTGCCCATTAACAATTCCATCAGGATTTTATCCACTGTTGTATTAGCACCTGCATTAATTTTACCTTCTTCACTTTGTAAGAAATCTAACATTGGTTCTTAGCACACACTTATTTAGCTGTGAGATGAATGTCATTTACAAAAGGAGGATAAGGAGAGCTGGAAAATCTCAGCCATCTAAAAGGCTATCAGAGTCAGCAACTGAGCACCCTAACATCTTGATCCCTAGGGTTCAAGACAGTGCCTTCCACATAATCTCATGTCTTTTTAAAGAGAACACACAGCAGAGCACAATAGAACAAACTATAAAATACCATTTATAAAATATGCTATAAAAACTGCTATAAAATGGCATTTTGAAGTGCCAGTGGTCATAATCTCTGGGTTACAGATGTCATAAGATATTATAGCATATGCCAAAGAGGGATTACTCCTTTATAAGCTTTAAAACAAATAAACAATCCCCTAAAAACAGCATACTTGCTTATGTATGATTACTGTTTATACTATTGTTTTTCATTTGAAACAAAAAAATAGTATTTGACATTCAAAAATGCAAAGCAGGTTAATATGATTTTATATGGGTTCCAACATGATGCACTTTCATCTATAAACAGACATACAGCTCACCTTTTAAACTCTTTTGCACACTGTTTTTCCCTTTTAGGAGCTTGGACCATTTTATTGCTCTTCTAGTGAGTACCACTAGATAACTGGAAAAGAATGCTTCATAGGAGGCATAATCAAAGTCTTCTGGCCTTTCAAATCCATATGGATCAACCCTAAAAAATGAAAAGGAATTCTTGTACAAATGTTTCTGCATACCTACAGCTCAAAAGAAAATATATGCAAGTATGCTTTAAATAACTTCCAGTTGCTATTTCTAAAAGCAGCTCAAAACTCCCTCCTCCCAACGAAAACCTACTTTACATAAACTGTTACACTCCATTTAGCATATCAAAGCTGTTGAAGTAAATGAATTTAAACATGCACTGTTCAGCCAGTTTTGCAGATTTCACTACTTTTAGAACTAGGGAGTTTTCAGAGCAAACGATCTGTTGTGTCCAAAATTGACCCAGATTACGACCACATGTAAGTCTGGGGAGGTATCTTTCTCCACAAGACAAACAGCTGAAAGGTAAGAAGGTGAAACATAATACCTCAAATATGGCCTGAACTCACTTTCCACCCAGTTCTGCACAGAAAAGTGATAAAAAAAGTACAGGTGAAACAAGTCAAAAAGATTACTTTTAAAAGGAGTATTTCCTGAAATTATCTTCATGCAAGTATAGGACTTGGAAAAAAAAAACCAAACACAAATCCTTCCCTCAATCTACTGTCTTATGTGACATCAAAAAAAGGATCAAAAAAGGATTACTTTATTATCTTTAACAGTTTTTCAGTGCTACAGCACTTCATATCAGGGAGTGCAACACTGATGGGGTTTCAGGACTGCAAGTCTGCTTCCAGTTTAGTTTGATATTTCAAGTCATCTTGCTAAACAAGATTTATAGCAACTTCCCAGGGCAGTTTACACCTGCCAACTACCACCTGAGTACAGGACACACATCGGATTTGTAGAAGTTAAACTGGCAGAGGGTTGTGTCCATGCAGAAAAGTTTGCAAGACAGACATCGAGGCTTAACTTCCCAAACCCGTTTCATTCACGGAGAAGGAATTTGCCCATGGAGAGGCACCGGCACGGCCTTGAGTAAACTCCAGCTCACAGGATCATCACGGGTGGTAAAGCATGAATCAGAAGAGGAACATTTTTATATTCAGACCTCAAATTGGTGTTCCCTAATGGGCAGTGAGAGAAGTCACCTTTGTGTTGGTGTACTCTCCAAATCCAACACGAAAACCACAGGTGTAAAATACACCAAAACCCCCGACAGGTTTCTTGGAAGACAGAGAACGTGAAAACATTAAAAAAAAAACCCTAACAGCTCCAGGAACACACATCTATTTACAAGGGCGACTGTCCGGGCAGCAAGTCCAGCTCGGCTCCGTCCTCAACTCCATCGCTGAGGCCGAAAGGGAAAGCAGCCAGCCAGGAAGCAAGGTTTCGGGAAGTCACCACCTGCCCCAACCTGCCCCGGGCAGCGAAGGTCTCCCCTGCCCCTCAGTGCCCTCCCGGCCATCGTGCCGGGCCCCCCCGTCCCCCCAGACGCTCCTGAGGGGAACGCCTGGCTGTCCCCGCACCCACCGGCTCCACGGTCCCCCTGCACCGCGGCTCCTCTCTGCCCCAGCCCGCCGTGCTCCTCCGGGGAAATAAA